CCCTTTTGGGCTGCGTGGCTTTGGATTTGATGGACAGGTGAGAGGTTTATAAAAAAAGGAAATTTTGCTCACAGTGTTGATTTGTGAAGATTATCTAATTCGGTACTTATTTTGACATCTCCAGCTCACACAGGACATAAACGATCCACAGCACATCTACCAGCTTCTAGGGAGCGATAAGTGCGTTCAAATTTGTAACCAATGTTGTTAATGTCTACTCTCAATTGGTTTGAAGTAACGCTTACATGGATCTTGATGAAAAGCTTGTTGGTTTTAGTCCGGATTTTTATCAGGTGCCTTCATACTTTTCTTCTCACAGAAATATTGTGGTGGAGAGTCGCCCTGTGGATGATCCAATGTCAAAATCCAACCTCTATCTCCTCTTCGGCCATGAGAACTCCTATTGAGATTGCTTGTCCTCTCCTTCTTTCCTTAATACCCCTTGCCCTCTACCTCCTTCCACTCCGTCTTTCGCTGCCTTCCTATTTTTGCCAACCTATCAGTCATTCTGCCAGTTGATCAGTTGGTCAGATCAGTTCGGAGAGGATCAGTATTGCTTAATTGTAAATTTCCGCGCTGATTCACAGCCTTTTCTCACCTTCGTTGTCCTGCTGACTCCCTCTGTCTTGAGTCTGGCCCCTTCCGGCTTGGGTGTGTGCCGCAACATTCACTGTACATATATGCGCACTGAAGCATTCATTGACTCAGACACCTATCCATCCCTCGACGATATGCTTGTGGGGGATTAAAGTTCTCTTCTTCCCTGTGGTTCTGGTTGACTCTGCATCGGCAGTTTTCGGACAAGGCGTAAGTGACGAAGACTAGATAGCAAGAAGGAGGAGGGATCCGTTGCTTAGAGTTGGTGTAGGGCGATGGTGATTTTCCAGACGTCGAAAACGTCTGTTGATGGAAGGGTCAGCTCAACCTCGGTAGTCGGATAAACTAAGTATGAAGTGTCTACGACCACCTTTCGAAACGACAAGTCTTAGGATAAAGTATGGCCGTGCCTTCTTTGCTACTACAAATATTGCAAAAGTGAAATAGGCTACAAAAATAAAAACCATCAGGATTCGTCTTGTATTAACAACTGTTTTATGTTTATAAAATACTAAATCCTTAAAATAGTTCAATAAGTCAACGAGCTATTGTGCTAAAATATATAGGTCAATGTTATAATTTGAATTTATAAAGTAACAAATTTAGTGGTTAGTAACAAGGTCATCTTAAATTTTTAGTCCCGCTAACTGCGCCTTTTAGCCAGTATTGCGTGCGCATCGTGGTTATGGCTGTTGATGTGTTGTCAGAGGCAGAACAATACAAAATCCAAGCAAACGAATGCTTTTCAAGTACGATCAAACTTCTGCCATGTTTAGTTTTCCAGAGGGAAAGTATTCCGATGCCATCGACTTATATACAAAGGCTATAAATGTGGAAGAAAAGGCGGTTTACTATGCGAATCGGAGTTTCGCCTACCTCAAGACGGAGTTGTTTGGTGCGGCTGCTGCTGATGCGTCGAAAGCAATAGAACTGGATCCCAGCTACATAAAGGTAGTGGGTTTGTTAATGATTACTTAAACTTGACAGGGATATTACCGGAGGGCTTCCGCCAACATGGCCATGGGTCATTACAATCTCGCTCTGAAGGACTTTGATACGGTGTGTAACCTGTTTTCTTGGTAGTATACTTAGTTAAATAGGTCATTTTCTTGTGCCCCTTCAGGCTGGTTCGTAGTGAGGTTGTTATTGAATTAAAAACTCCGGCTTAATGGGTCTTCCTCATTTTCGAA